TATTAAAGGACTGAAGCACTAGGAAAGCTGAAAACCACTGCTGTAGAGATTTTGGCTGCTCTATTATCCTTCTGAAATCCTGACATAATCTGATCACCCTCCGTTCACTGCTTTTAAAGCAAACCTGTGAAAGGGGGAATTTGTGCATTAATATGTGGCATTTGCATTCTATTTAGAAAACTAAATATCTCTTCTGGTTTCAGATATCTTTGATCTTCAAATATTTTTTTTTATTTGTGTGCTGGCAAGTCCAGACTGGCTTTTAATCATCATCACCATCATCATCATCATCAACATCATCACTTTAAAGGCCCTGCCTGTCCTGGAGAGCACTGTGTAGACAGGTCTGGCTTCAAACTCACAGAGATTCACCCACGTCTCTGCCTCCCAGGTGCTAGGATTAACGGCACATGCCATTATACCTGGTTGGCTTACTATTTTTTTTTTAATTAGTTTACTTTACCTCCCAATTACAGCTTTCCCTCCCTGGTTTCCTTTTTTATCAGTAAAATGGAATCACTGAATCACAGGCTTGATGCCAAACATGGGACATTTCTTCTGTAGTCTGCAGCCTATGAATAGTGATAGGCAGGGAATAAAAGCAAGAAGATAAAATGATTTTGTGTGTGAATTCAAGTCAAAATAAACAACCAGTCACAAAGATTGCCATTTGGGGAATGAAATGGATCATTTTGAGAGTGGATCATTTTGCAGCAGGGTCTAAACTGTGATGAGAAACAGAGCACCCACGAATGCTCTGCAGCATGGAACAAGGTCCATGTGGTTAGCTACAGCAGGACCTGACTCTCCAAGTCAGAGATTCATGTTATAACCAACCCAAGATGCCAAGAGTGTGCTTTTGTAATTTCTCTATTAAAAAAAATCATTTCTATGTTCAATTTAATCCTCTTTTGTAATATGCTAACTGATCCTCAGAGGAAAATAACCTCCTCCAGACATTCTGCACTATTGATGATGAAGCTGTTTAATTTTCTATGGTTTTATTAACTGAGCAGTGCGATGCATTATAATTCATAGATCAGCCATCTATGCATATGTGAATTCTATTGCCTTCCTAGTATCTTATTCATTGGAACATGTGTGAACATACATGGTTCTTTTACTGATTTGAGTCAGAAGGAAATTTCAGCATTTATCTTGTTTCTGCACAAATGTTGGCAGGTTTATCTTGAATTTGAGGGCCAAGCTGACCAGATCTATCTTATAAATTATTGGCTCTTCAGACTTGGGGAGTCATTTGTTTAAACTCCACAGCTGCCTTGTCTCAGCTATAAAAATAAAGAGGACATGACACATGTCAGGGGGCTTTTTACAAGACCCCAGGCCTTGACATACTCAGGAAAGGCACCGTCAGCATTAGTTAATTGCTCCTCATCACTACCATCTTTTTAAGTGAAGAAATGGTACCTACCTGCCTTACCTTGTCCATCATTATACTGTCCTTCAATCCTTCTAAGCATGTTGAATGGATAAATATCCAAATTGTGAAACTTAAAAAAAATAGCCATTTTTTTTCTTTTATCCTCTTAGATTAAATTGCTTTCATTTTTCACTGTTCCAACTCACAGTTTACCGAGCTGATGGCACTGTTATTATCAACAGCAGTGTAAGCTGGTTTGGTGATGCAAGCTTGTGAACTCCAGACTTGGGAATTTGCTGGAAGAAGGATCAGAAGTTCAAGGTCTTCCTCAGCTATGAGGATCAGTAATGAGTTTGAGGCCAACCAGGGTCTTGTGACACTGCCTCAAGAATCAAACAAAATAAGCAAAAAAATAAAAATAAAAATAAAAAAACTCCAGCAACTGGAGTTTGGTTACTCCCAACAAAATTCAGTGTTTGCTTCCAGGTTCAAAGATCTCTTTGGGTAAAATTAATGAATAATAAATAAAATTTCAGTGCAGACTATACAGTAAGATTAAAAAGAAAAGCAGCAAATACTTGCCCATGTTGTGAGTTTAAAATGCCCGATTTTATTTGTGCTTCTGTCACTTTTACCTCTCCATAACTTTCACAGTTTACAAATAAATTTACACTAGCTTCCACGTGTTACTTGAGTCTTTGGTTAAAGTACTTCATTGTCCTTTAATTCTTTCAGGGGGCTAAGGCAGGCCACTTTGCAAACAGTCTCTGCCAGGCCTTGAAAAGAGGATGTCTGGATGCCAAAGACCTCGTAAAATCATCCGATTGTTGTCCTCCAAGAGGTGGCTTTCTGTGCAGAGAAATGCCTTTGTCTCATGACATTGTCCTATTTCTCCAAAATACCATAGTTGAGGCTCAAACTAGGAAATGTTCTTTGTACTCTCTATTCTGAATCTCTTACAGAAGGCTAATCAATCCCACAGAAAGGTGCAAATGGTGGTTTCCATAGGAGATGGAACCACAATCATCCACTAAGTCCAAGAGGAAAGCAAGTGATGCCTGGGGGTTCTTGTCCAAATTCCAAGTTGCAACAGGTCCAGGAAGAAGTCACTCTGGGATCCCTTGTTCCTTAGCTTTCAGTGTCCAGAGTCGGAACCCCATCTTTCTCAGTTGGAACGAAGCAACTGACCCACTCAGTACTCAGTGCAATTCTGGGAAACTTGAGGGCAGACACTGAAGGAGAAAAGAAACACACAACTGAAAGTTGGGGTGTTTTTAACACAATGGGTAGAATCTAGCCACCCACACACCATCCTCTCCCGGAAATGCCATTTCCTCTTCCAGGAAACAAAGGTGTGGAGAATTCTGAGCAGCAGCTGTGTGTCTGAAACAAGGGAGACAAAATCTGATAGAAAGAAAACCTCTGCAGCCTGGGCAGAGGGTTAGTCCTGTAGCAAATGGAGGCTAAACAGTCTACAGGTTCCTACCCTGCTTGACATAGAACAAGAACACAGTTACATGCTTTTGTTTTAAACACACTTTTATGGCCAAAACACAAAGGATTTCCCGAGATGTATGAGAAACTATTATTTCAGAAGATCCAGCTTTCAGGAAGGGTAATGAACTTCTAACTGTTGAACTCTGTGGCTATAGAATATTAGACTACCACAGGCTTTCCAAACCCAGGAGTTCTGATGGGGTTTGGAAGCCAAATATTGAAAATCAGGCTGTGGGGCTGGAGTCAACTGTGTTTTAGAGGAATTTGCTAAAAGAGCGCTCAAGGCTTGGCTCCTGATTCTGATCCTTTCTAAATTGTGTAATCCTGAATATATTACATACTATTACAAAACACCATATTACAATGTGTTAAGTAGAGATGATAATAGTCATTACGATGTTAGCTACTTCATTAGATTATGAAGGTAAAATGAACAATGTATCTAAATCTGCCCACCAACAGTACCTACTATAGATAAATATTTACTATGTTGCCAGCATCATGTCATTTGTAGCCTCTGAAAAGCAACTGAACACTGATAAATGGAACCAGACTGTGGATGTAGGTCAGCCGTAGAGTACTTGCCTGGCACCAACAAGAGTCTACGTCTAATCCTTGGCAATGTGTTTGAAAGAATTAATAAGACGACAAATGAACTTCCCTGAGCCCTTGCATGTATTTGATTTCCTAAGACACTCAGTGGGAAAAGCAGTCATGGGGAATCAGATATTTCCTGACTTGTAGGCACAGCTCAGTCATTTCTCCCCAACAGGCTCCACTGAAGGCTGGCAGGAGCAGGCTGGCAATTTGCCTTTGAACAAGGGACTCTTCAGCAGTCACAGACACAGGCTGGGTGAGGGCCATTTTTCCAGCCCACCGTGAGCTTGTTCCTAGGCACTACACACTTTTCTGCTAAACGTAACAGCCAAAACATAATGAAGGCCTACTATGTGCCAGACTTTGTTTGATGTTCTGATGAGACAATGCCATCAGGGAAACCCACCCTCTTTACTGTAAGATCCTGACTTGTGGGCCAAGTCTGTGCTTAGCCATCAACAGATGACAAAGTGGGTTAATTTTGGCCAAATATTTTTTTATAGCCTTTAAAAATGTGTGCTTTAGCTTTGATGGGTCCATATACATTTGAGGAAACAGTCTCCATGTGTGGCTTTTTACCACAGCCTCGAGTATCACTTAATCAAGTCACCAAGCCCTTCTGGATCTCAAGTGTTTCATTTGAAGATTAGAGGTCGAAACTCTCAGAACACTGGGGTCTTTAAAGATGGTGTTTTGTATGTCAGTAATCAGAAGCCTGCTGAGGAGAACACGGGGGAAGGGTGGAGTAGAAACAGATTACTATTTAATGTCTCATTCTAATCTGGTCTTCCTTTACTACAGCAATAAAAATGTGTAATTCTACTGAGTAAGGGAAAAAATCTACCACCTCTTGTTTTCGACACTCTTTATGATCTTCATGGGAATTAGCAACAGGGCAAAAAAAAAAAAAAAAAAAAAAAATCTAAAATAAAACGACAAGTACATTGTGGTGACGCAGAGTTGCTGCTGGAGAGCTGTAAAGTTTACAGCAGTTCAAAACATTAAAATCGTTGGTAATACTCAACCAAGAAGTCTCTTCTGCCGCGACGGAGCTGCGCCCAAACAGGCTCCACGGGTAATTAAAAAGCAAACCAAAACAAAAGCAACGCTTGCAAGTTCTTCGTGATGCAAAAAAGAATTAAATGAAACACTTCTTACTCCCAGTGACCTTAGCCCGTCCCACTGGAGGCTCATTTACGGGTTTTTCAGCTCAGTGAGGAGAGACGGCTCTCGCGCCCCCCTTCCTGGCACTCAGGCGGCAGAGGCTGTGGCGTCGGTCCTGCTCCGTGCTGCCTGCGGCGGTGCTCCCCGCCGGGCGGGCGACCGTAGCATCCAGACGTCCCGCAGCCTCCGGGTCCCAGTCGCGGCCAAGCGACAAGTGGCCAGTGAGGCGTGAGGATGGAGGGTGGGGACAGGACCAGCAGGAGGGAGGCCGGGAGCGCTCGCGGAACGCAACCAGGCGCGCGTCCCTGAGCCGTGGCGAGCGCCCTCTGGCCGGTGCCGCCGCCGAGAGAACCATCGGGTCGCCAGGCCCGCGCCAACCCTCGCCATCGGAGCACAGCGGCGCTGCGCTGGGACCTTGGCCTCGACACCAGGTAGGACCGGGGCTCCAAGTCACCCCAGGAGAGAGCGGGCTGGAGGTGCAAAGGACCCGGGGCCCGAAGGGCCACCCGTGTGTCCCTTGCAAGTGTTCCAGGAAAGGCCGGAGGGCTGTCGGGTAAGCAGGGGTGAGAATGAAATAGAAAAAAAAAGCAAACTTTGAGGTTCTTAGTCCTTGATTTCTTGTGTGCTGGCGACCTTGACCAGGTGGAGGCTGGAGTCAGGGATGGAAACGCGCTTCCTTCTTCCTTCTGCTTTTCCTCAGCACCCGAGGAAAGGCTGGCTAGGAAAAGGCAAATAGTGGCACCTTTATGTGCTTCACACACACACAAACACACACACACACACACACTCACACACACACCAAAACCAGAAACAAACAAGCTAAAAGCCCAACCATATTCTTGTCAGAAGTGTTTTCTTTCTTAGGAGACCTGTCCTCATGTTCTGGAAATTTGTTGAAGCGCTGGATTAGTTTTTTGGTTTTGTTTTTTAGGGGCCGGGGATGGCTTTAAGGTGTTTGTTTGTTTTTAAAAGTCGGGACAGCCATTCCTGTAACCGTGGGGAAGAGGGCCACATGTTAACAAAATATACATTGTTACACAAATGTCACCTCTTTGTTTCACTGGAGTTGTAAGAGCCAGACTTATCAGTGCAACGGGTGACTTTAATGACTCCCTGTGGGCGTGGAGAGAGGGCCAACGTCTGGCTGAACCGTGGTGATTCTGGTGTTTTGTGCAAGGGGAACGTCACAGGGCTGCCCTGTCCTCTGGGCTGTCCTGCCTCTATGTGGGCTGGCCGTGGTGCTAATAAAAGATTATTCAGATTCAGTGGTGACACAGCTGTGTGTGTGTGGAGATGGGAGGGTGGAGAGAAGGAGACGGGCCCTCTGGCTGTCAGTGGGAAAAATGGACCGTTTGTGCCCAAGCCCGGGTCCTTTAAGCTGCAGGTGCCTTTCCAGAACACAGACCTAGACTGGGGAATTGTGTGATGAATGCCAGGCAAGACCTGGGGAGTCTGCCTTTGTCTTCTCATCTTGAGCTCATTCTCATCCCTTTCAGTTAGCAAAGAGAATTTAAAAGTCCCAGGATTCAGGAGTCAAGGAAGCAAGAACTTAGTGGCTCCATGTAATTTTATTGGCTCTGTTTTATTCCTCCGGAAAGTCATGCCCACCATGGCTTCTTCCTTCCCAGTGGTGGATTGCTTGAAACCCTGCTCCTAGGATCTTGAGTGCCTCACCCCACTTGTAAATCACCATCTTCACCCCCCCACACACACACTTATCTTTGATATTGTGTAAAATGGCAGGCTTACTGTGGATGCTTCCTCTCTTAAAAAAAAATAAGCTGTGTCTTGTGGGAAGAAGGGTGACATTTACTAATTTGGTTGCAAATTACTTTTGAAGTTTATGCACAGCTGTTTAAAATCCCTCAGAGATCAGTGCCATTGTTTGATGCAGGTGTCTAGCACAGAAAGACCTCATTAGGCTGTTTCTTTTGCTGATTGAATGTACATGTATTTGACGATTAGGCCTAGGAGGGTCTGAAACCTGCACAGTTCCCTGCAAGTTGAACGACTCAATCTAAATGAAGGAGTTTTGTTTTAGGTTTTTTTTTTTTTTAATCACTGCTGTTTTGTCTTATTTCTTAGCAACTCTTATTGTCTGTCCCCAGGGTAACCTTTCTGGCATCAATAGTTTTTAATTCCAAGTCCCATGACTGTCATTTATACTTTAAAACGGAAACTTCTTGGGATGATCCGTGTCCCCTCGTGTCTTCTCAGGTTCATTTCTCCACAGCCTCACGTTATGGTGGCTCAGGATGGCAGCGACTTCCGTGCAAGCCCCCAACGCCTGTTTCCCCACCAGCACCACCTCCTACAGCAGGGCCTCTGTCTAGGCTGTGTGAACAGACACACGGAGCAACCCCCGTGCCTGTTCTTTCCTTACTCAAAGGCTTGCAGGATGCTGTTCCTTGATTCAAACCTGCCTTTTCTAGGATCTCAAAGATCTTTCTCAACACTCCTCTACTTCTCCTGTTCACAGCACACCTTGGAAGCGCTCTGAAACAACTCTGGTGGCCTTTGCTCATTTCTAAAAAGATTCCACATTCTAGTATGACATAGGCCCCTTTCTCCTCTGTGAAAAAGACCAAAAGTTCTGTATAATGATGTTCCTGGAGTCATGACCCAGGATTGTCTTTCAGGAATGTGGGCTTCTGGTCTGAGTAAACCTCCTTCTAATGCAGTATTTAATTATGGAGTATTTGCCTTTCTTTGAAATAAAAAAATCAGAATTAATTAAAACCCCTATTTTAGTGTTTTTAATGGCTTAGAGTTATTGATTATGTTGTTCACCCATAAATGTTGCCCAAGTATTAAGCAAATGTGACCTCTTCCTAATAAATTTGAATTTGATTTCAGGTGATTTCTTTTTGTTTGTTTGGTTGCTTTTAGTTTTTGGTTTTTTGAGACAGGGTTTCTTTGTGTAACAGAGCCCTGGCCATCCTAGACTCACTTTATAGAACAGGCTGGCCTCAAACACAGACCTCCACTACACCTGGTCGGGTGATTTTTTTTTATAGTGCTAAATATTTAATTTTCAAAAATAATTGCCTCTAAATCAGTTTAAATATGACACATTGTTTTGAGAGTCTCTTGTAGCTCAGGTTGGCCTCAATCTCACTATTTAATAACCTTGAACACCTGATCCTCCTTTCTCTACCTTCAAAGTGTTGGGATTTCAGGTGAACACCACAACGCCTGGCCTTAAGTGATATTTTATTGTACAGTGATATATACATATGTATGTATGTATGTGTATATATATGCATATATGTATATTACATATATTCATTTTAATATTTTATTGCTTCTTTGAGAATTCTATATCTGTACATCGTATTCTGATCATATTTTCCCTTGCTCTTCCCTGACAACTCCCAGACTCATCCCCCAATCCCTTCAACTTCATGTGTTTTATTTTATTTTTGAGATTATAATATAATTAAAATATTTCTCCCTTTCCTCCCTCAAAATTCTCTTATATATCCCTCCTCACTCTTCTTCAAATTCATATTTTTTCATTAATCGTTATTTCATGAATATATATATATATATATATATATATATATATATATATAAACATATATATATAACCTATTGAGCCAATTCTTATTTTTTTAAAATAAGCCAGAATCTAATCAGTGCTTTCTGTATAACCATAGATTTTTCAGCCATCCACTGATCCATGGTCAACCTACTAAGGGCCACTTCTTTAAAGAAAACTGGTCCTCATTCTCCTTGAGTCATTAACTGCTAGTAGCTTCTTAGATGGGGCAGGGCCTGGTGAACTTCTCTTTTTTGCTTGTTGGAAAGTCTTGGACTGACATGACCTTGTACAGGTCTTGTCCTGGCAACCAGGACAAGTGTTTAGAGTAGCAATCCTGTTACATCTGCAGACACAGCTTTGCTCTGGTAGTCACATCCTGTGGTCTTACAGTCCTTCTGTCTCCTGTTCCGTCATGGCCCTAGAGCCTTGGTGAGGAGGTAGTGTGATAGAGATGTCCCACGTGTGGCTGAAGCTCATTCTCTGTGGCACCAGTTATGACTTCTAGCATCTCCTCTCTAAGCATCATTGCAGCCCGTCTAGCCTGTTCAGATAGGTTCCAGGAGTTAATACAGAATCTACAAGATTTATAGAAACACATAATGTGAAGCCAGAAAAGTGAATTAAAAGATGTTTCTTGTCAAGGCTAGCAACATCTTTCATCTTTACCTGCCAGATAATTGCACACAGTCATATTCTGATTATTATGTTATTTCAATGTATTCTTAGGGAGATAGGTGAAAGTCCAAGGACTCAGAAGTTGAAACTATCTCATCAGAGTCCAAAATCATAGATTTCTCCTCTGGGATTAAATTGCCATTTATTTTAAGTCCAAGTATTGGCAACCTGTCTTTCTACAGGTTGCTAGAATGTGTAAGCTTTTGAATTAAGCTAATGGTATTGATGATAATCATAGCCAGAACAAACAAAAGCAACAAAGTTTGGGCTAGGGATGTGGCAGAGTTTCTATGTAGCATGCAGGAAGCTCTGGGTTCCATCCTGAGCATAAGCCAGTCTTGGTACTGCATGAGTGTAATACTAGCACTCGGGTATTGGAAGACAGGATCAAAAGTTCAAAGTCATCCTTGGCTTCATAGTGGGGTCAAGGCCATCCTGAGGTACAAGATAGCCTCTAACAAAATAAAACAACAAAAAGTCATTATTATTTATGATTTATATACCAGTTATAAATTATTGTCATATTTAATCTCCGTGAAAGTCCCTATAGTTAGGTATTCTCATTCTCGTTTTTTTCCAGAAGAGGAAAGTGATGCTCAGGAGAGCTAAGCCACTTGCTCAGGTTTTATAACTTGTAAGAGGTGGAGTCAGGTTTGACCAGCCGGTAAACCCTGCTGTCAACTGTATGTCAGGCCACCTACCAGTTAAAAGCGTGGACAAAAAACTGACCATCTTAACTTCTTGAAAGGGGTTTATTTAATTATATTTTGTGGTTATGAGTATTTTGTCTGCGTGCATGTTTGTGCACTACATGCTGGCCAGAGTGGGTTTTAGATCACCTGGGACTGGAGTTACAAGTAGTAACTGCCATGCGAGTGCTGGGACTGAACTAGCATCCTCTGAAAGAGCAGTGAACACCATTAACCACTGAGCCATCGCGCCAGCCTCCTCTTAACCACTTTTAGATGAAAAGGTCAACAGCACTGTGTGGCTATCACTTCAGTCCAGTAAGCCCTTTTCTTTTGTGTGTATGGGATGTGCTCTCATGCAGGGCATACACATGATTGTGGGTCTCTGTGCCCTTTCTCACGCATGTGGAAGCCAGAATGAGGCAAGGGGTGCAATTTCAATCATTTTTCATTACCACCTTGAGATCTTTCACTGAACAAAAAGCTCACTCTTTGGACTAGGCTGGCTGGCGTTGTGAGCTCT